CCAGGTGGCATTTTCCTCGCCTCCTGGGAGAAACTTTTCACAACGGGGTGGAAGGGACCAGAGGTCGTGGCTGAAGAGGACGGAGCACCAAGGCCTCAGCCCGGGCCCTTCCAAGGGGCGGAGGTGCCATGAGCCGGCAGGGAGGGGGGTCGCCTCTGTGAGCCGCGTGCTCAGGCTGGACGGGGCCGAGGAGGCCTCTAGTCCAAGGTCGGTAAACTCACCGCCTGTTTTGTATGGCCTGGGTGACAAGCTAAGAATGGCTTGGATATTTCTAAAGGTTTGTTAAAAAACGAAGAAGCGTATGTCGCGGGAGAAGAGTGTGGGCTGCAAAGCCCGAAGTGCTGACCGTTCCCAGGCCGCGCTGGCTCAGCCAGACTCTCAGTGACGAAGGGGAGCACAGGCTGGGGCCGAGGCAGACACCCTGACAAGAGCTCCTCACCATCAGGCCCCACCTACTTGCTCTGAAAAAATAGGAGGGGTCTGGCCAGTGTTGCTCAGTGGTTGAGCATCGACCTATGAACCAAGAGGTCACGGTTCGATTCCCAGTCAGGACACATGCCCGGGTTGCAGGCTTGATCCCCAGAGTGGGGTGCACCAGAGGCCGCTGATCAATGGTTCTCTCTCATCATTGATGTTTCTATATCTTTCTCCCTCTCCTTTCCTCTCTAAAATCAATAAAAACTACATGTTAAAAAAAAAACAAAAACAAAAGTCCCCCTGTGACCCCCTCCTGCCCACCAGCCCCTTCCTCTCCTTGTGAAGACGAGTGGGCAAGAGGGGGGGCGGTGCCTGGAGGACCAGAGGCCTGCGACCAACCCTAACCAGCACTCCCGTTCATGGGTGCCTTTCATCCTTCCAGCAAATGTTTTCTGAGGGTATTCTGCTGCCAGGAGAGGTATGGGTTCTCCCCATGGAATGCCCGCCCTCAGAGGCCTGGGCGGGACACTGTGTCCCTAGCCCCTGGCTAAGGATGGGCACACAGCACGGGTGTCAGACGTATTTGTGGAATGTGAGTGCAAGTGGACGAATTAGAAGGAAACAGTCTGCGGGCCTGTGAAGGGCGCTACAGGGCTGAGGGCTGAAGCCCTTCCTCACGAGGCAGGCAGACACCCTGACAAGAGCTCCTCACCATCCAGCCCCACCTACTTGCTCTGAAAAAATAGGAGGGAATCCCAGTCAGGACACATGCCCGGGTTGCAGGCTTGATCCCCAGAGTGGGGTGCACCAGAGGCCGCTGATCAATGGTTCTCTCTCATCATTGATGTTTCTATATCTTTTCCCCTCTCCCTTCCTCTCTAAAATCAATAAAAACTACATGTTTAAAAAAAAAAACAGGAGGGGAGGAGTCCAGGAACCCAGGAGCTGTGGGGACACCTGTGGCCATGGTGGGAATTCATCCCCGACTGCAGGGCCTCGCGCCACCACCCAACCCCCGCCTCTGTCTCCAGTCAGAGCAGCAGGACAGGGCGGAATGGGCCTCTGAGACCAGGACCAGTGCTGCTGGCTGTGGTGGCGGGCATCGCAGTGGATGTCACCACGTCACTGTCATGGGCCATGACAAGCGTTAAAACAACAACAAAAGCCCCTAGAAGGTAATAGAACAGGAACTATGAGCATACAGTGTACTTAGTAAGGGAAATACTGGTTTCTTTCATGTCACGCTATATAAAGAATTTTTAACTTATATATCTGAAAGAGTTTTGTGTACTAGACTGTGACCTATGTAAAATGTATTTCTGACTGTGGTTTGCTGTCAAAATGTTGAACAAACAGTGACCCAAGCCCACCCCCATTGTGCACAAGGCAACACTGAGATGCAGAAGGGAGAAGGGCTTGCCCAAGGCCGCAGGGTCAGCGAGGGCCGAGCTGGGCCGGTCTCACACTCCTACTCCCGGCCACCGACCGCTCAGTGAGGAGTCCCTGTGATCCCCAAGGGAAGCAGCCTCCCTCTGCCTGCTCCCTGGGGTGGGGTGGCAGGTCCCTGTGGGTCCTTCCTTCTCCCCTTTCCCTGTGGAGTTGTCACAGGAGACCTCCTCCTCCCCAGGCAGCTCTGTGGGACAGGGGGAGGGCAGGTAAGGACCATCCCAGGCACTGCCACCGCTCTACCGCAGGTCCCGTTCTGCCCCTCTGGTCACGGCCCCCACCTGGATCTGTTCCATGCAGTGCTGGGGGGACTCGGCCGACACACACTGGATCTCCGGCCTGAGCGCCTGCCGGCTGAAGGCCACAGCCATGTCCCCACACTTCTGGATCTCAGGAGTGGACAGCACACACCAGTGCAGGTAGCGGGGCAGCCCTGTGTGAGTGTGGGTGCGTGTCACTGCATACTTGCCTGCCGCAGGGGCCGCCCTGAGCATGGCCTGTGGGGTTGGGGCCGTGGGGGCTAGTGCCTCAGCAAGAAGAGCTTGGAGTCAGACCCCAGGGAAATGCTGGCTTTTCCTCGTTAGCAATAAGGGGTAAGGTTTTTCACCGTCTGATCCTGTGTCTACATACAGAATCAGGGTAATGCCCTCTTTCTTGGGGCTGCGAGGAAGCTTGAGGCAGACCATGCTGCCAAGGATCTAACTCAGTGGCACACCGTTTCCCTGGTTGTAGGTGGAGGAGGCACGGGATGGGCTGGAGGCAGGAAGCCCATGTGTAGACATCTGCAGTAGCCCAGGCTCTCGAGACAATGCCTGAGCCAGGGCCGTGGCCATGGTGGAGAGGGGGAGGAGTGAGGCATGGAGGAGGGAGAAGAACAGGATCTGATGACTTCAGTGCTGAGGGGTAAGGCACCTTTCCCAAGACAGACCCTGATGGCCTGGATCCCACCCCTGAGAGGCGGGGCTTCCAGGGAGCCCACCACCCACGCAACCCTAGAGATACTTCCTCCCCAAACCCCAAAGGCAGGACAGTGGAAGCGACACATTCCCCCCTCCCTTCGACCTCCACCCCCCACCCTGGGTTGGTGTCCTCCCTGGCCACCTCTCCAGGAAGCCCTGCCATTCTTGCAGTCAGGCTGGGCTGGAGCCGGAGGGGAAGAGGCGGCTGGACTTACGGTTGGAGTCACAGAGGAGACCCTTCATGGCGCGCAGGTACTCAGGGCCCAGCCATGCCTCGTAGGTCTGTGTGGCGATGGGCACCAGCTCAGAGGTGGCGTCTTTGAAGAGCAGGTTCTTCTGGCCATAGGCCTCAGAGCTGAACATCTGGAAACTACTGTTCTCATGGCTGAACAGACGCTGTGTGTCAAGGGGGGCTGGTGAGGTGCTGCAGGGGTGCATCCCTTCCTCCCAGATCAGCCATCACCTCCTCCTTCCTGTGCCCTCAGGCAGGAGCTCACACTGAGGACGGGGTGAGGTGCCACCTGCCCCCTTCTTCTGTGCTCCCCAGTGTGTTCTGCCTTGTCACACTCAGCTGACTAGACATAGACTCAGGGCCCAGCTGAGGGATGGTACCAAGGACCAGCAATGGGTGTGGCAGTGGTGGCATGAACAGGGCAAAACTAAAGCTGGTGGGCCCAGCAGTCAGAAACTTGTCGCTCTTGTAAGCAGTGGTTTAGCAAAACATTAGTCACCATATGTAATTACTGGTGTACTTGGACATCTGTTGGCTTTGCCATTTTGTTCGTTGGCCCCAATGTTCCGGTTTTGCTTTTCAGAGTTAGCTAGCACAGTCAGTGCCGCCTACACTGACCTGGCCTGAGGTTGGACACCACAGAGGCCTGGTTCCCCAGCTGGGGTGTGTCCCAGGGGAGGGCCTCTGGGGCCTGCCACCCCCAGCTCCGGCCGGCTCAGCTTCAGGGTGGCTCTAGCCTTGAGCTCCCATCCTGGTGAGGAACAAGAAGTCCAGCGCCCCTCAGGAAGCTGAGAGGGATGCCTTGAACTCACCTGGCCTTCGTTGAGCAGCCGGAAGATGAGGCCTCCGTCTGTGTCGGCCCGGACGACCACGGCGTGAGCGGGTACCCGGGCCAGGTGGCAGTGTCTCCATCCGGTGACGTCGGCCCGGCTGCCATCCAGGCAGAGCAGTTGAAAGTCCCGTGACAGCAGCTCCTGGCCCCAGGAGGGCAGGGTTTTTCCTGGGAAATTGGGAAGCCTCTGGTGAGCGGACGGACGGGAGGATGGTGGTCTGTGTCTCTTGGGAGGGCCTCAGGGATAGCCCAGAGAGGGAGCCTGGGGAGAAGTTAGGGCAGTCGCTCTCAACCTGTGGGTCGTGACCCCTTTGGCGGTGGAACGACCCTTTCACAGGGGTCGCCTAAGACCATCCTGCATATCAGATATTTTACATTACGATTCATAACAGTAGCAACATTACAGTTATGAAGTAGCAATGAAAATAATTTTTTTAGTGTTTCTCTGGGCTGCTCTCTATTTGTCACACATTGCAATGCCCTTCCTGCCATTTGGAGGCCCCCAAATATATTATAGTCAAGCTTTGAATGGTCAGATTGAGTGTAGGGATATACAGTTTTGTGGATATAGAACCCACCTTCTTACAGGGGATGAGTTAGGGTGTCATGGGCCACAGCCCTAAGGTGAAAAGAAACTCTTTCAGGGCGTTAGAACCCAGAACTGCAGCAGGAGGTAAGAACCGGTATCACACCAGGAAGTAAGGAACCTAGAACTTTACCTGGAGCTAAGAACCCAGAACTTGACCAGGAGGTGAGACCAGAACTTGACCAGGAGGTAAGACCAAAACTACACCAGGAGGTGAGACCAAAACTTTATCACAAGGTGAGACTAGAACTACACCAGGATATGAGAGCAGAACTTCACCAGGAGGTGAGACCAGAACTCTGAATGGAGAGAAACTTGGTGGCTGTACAAGACCAGGTGTCTTTTTAAAAAATATATATTTTATTGATTTTTTACAGAGAGGAAGGGAGAGGGATAGAGAGTTAGAAACATTGATGAAAGAGAAACATCGATTAGCTGCTTCCTGCACACCCCCTACTGGGGATGTTCCTGCAACCAAGGTACATGACCTTGACCGGAATCGAACCCGGGACCCTTCAGTCCGCAGGCCGACGCTCCATCCACT